TGTAAAATTCTGACAGGTGCAGAAGATACGAAACAGCACGAAGACGGGATGCCGTGCTGATCGTATAGACTTTAATTTAATTTAAAAGACAATTTAGTGGAATAATAATAATTTTTAGAATAATAAATAAACTATTGTAGAAAATGTGAATAATTTTCTACAAATGTAAAAGTAAGTAAAACTGGATGTGTAGTTAAAAGAAAGAAAGTTAGATAAGGAGAATAATTGTCGATGAAGTAGGACGAAGTCTCTGTTGATGCTGATGTTACGATTAACACAATTGGGACTATTTTTCTTTTCCTTGACTATTTCCAAATCCTCAAAAACGTCAAGTTTGAGATAATTTCTACCTGGGATGTTATGAATAAGAGAAATATCATCTGATACCTTGATTGTGTGATTGTTATATTTAAGATGATGGGAAAAAGAAGAAGTGTTCTCTAACTTGTGAATGTTCAATAGCCCTGGTTACTAGAGATCTACAAATTCTACCAATATATGTGGCATCGCAGTCAGAACATTAAAGTAAAACCAACTTTTATCTATACTTATAACCCCCTCTGTGGCTCAGTGGTAAGAGCGCCTGCCTTTAAACCTAAAGGTCGTGAGTTCGAATCCCACCTGTGTGGAAATTTTCGTTTATTAAAAAAATTAATAAATGAAAATAATTTCTATCCTTGTGTGATCGGTACACACCGGAGGGACCGCAGACGTTCGGATACAATTAGCGTCTCTTAGCAAAGACAATGACGTCGACTTTGCTAAGTATCAAGACAATTACTCTACACAAACACACACACTACACCTCAAATTGTAAGATTGGCGAATGGATTTAGTGTCCGCAGTCATTTAAAACACAAACAAACCAACAAACAATCTATACTTACTTCATACAAGGAAACAATTAGGGAATAACATTCTTTTTATCGCCTTTAAAATGATTTATTAATTCCAACTACCTAACTTAAATTTTGCCTTACCCTGGTATACCAAATTTATTTTACATAACAGTCACTCATTGTTTTACATTCTCCTACCTTTTTTAAAATACCAAAAATTGCTATTGATCCTACTACACACAAAACACAATTCTTCGCTAAAAACGGCCTATTCACAAACTTAAGCACAATGACTTTTGCTCCTACTACATCATTCCACCTGACATTGACGGGTACTAACTGATTTTTCGTACCATCTTTCTATCAGTTAGTCCTAGACTCCAGCACAGATCAGAGGTAATGTAAGTCGATAAAACCTCACCAGCTACAGGGGGTCATGTAAGATGCCCCCATTTTCAGTTTTTATTAATCAAAAGTCTATTACATTTACCTTTATAAATACCATGAGGATTGTTTTTAATACGGATGTACTTCCAATGTTTTTATGTGGTCATAAAATGTTTTTTGACAACTTTTTATGAAAGTAGTAAAAAACCAACGTGTTCTTTTTATATATTTAAATTTTAACTTACTTGTTTTTTAATATTGGTATTTTTACTCTCTCTTTTAGTAAACTCATGATGGAATGATTCAAGTCCGAAGAGATCTTCTTTAAAATAAAATTTTTTAGCTTTTAATAAGCATTTTTTATACCTTAATACACACGAAAACCACGTGCTTTGTATTCAACAGGTATACTAGCCACTCCTGGATATCTCCACTTCATGGTTTGTTCCAGTTTCACTTTAAATTTTGGGCTAATTATTTTAGGAATTTTTTCCGAGGGATAGAATTTCCTCTACTTACAAACTAATATTACACTCTGGCTTTAATACCTGCAATATTTATAACAGGAAAAAATACTCCCATTGGCCATCTTTGTGATCTTCGAGCTACAGAATAATTAGCACATTTCTGGTCAAACGCATCCACACCGGCCGTTCGAATTATAAAATAATATGATGTCGGGTTTTTTGTTTTTTTATCAACAATATTTCATGGTACATTGAAGATATCAGTATTACACTTTTGCCTTTCTTAGGTATACAAGATACCATGATAACATTAGAAGTGAATCCAAACAAAAAACAATCATCTGGCCTTTTTCTTAGAGGAACGAATTCTGTCGAAAGTCACATTACGTCTTTTGACCAGAAATTGGTTGAGTTGCCCATAAAGCCACTTTGGAAGGATCAGAAAAGAGTGATTTTGCAGTTATGTTTTGGTTTTTGCCAATGTATATTACTGCAGCATACATGTAATGTGGATTCGGAATGTACATTCTCAAACTATATCGTCTCTCGAATGGAACCAGCATTTCATTTATAATCAAAAACTATCCAGGTAAGAAGTTTTTAAAACAATTTTGTGCAAACTGTTAAAATATAATAATTATTGGGGCCAATTTAGTGTCTCTTCTTCTCTCAGTTCTTGTCAAAGCATCATTGGGTCGAAGACACGAAATTATAAAGGATAATATAAGGACAATCTTGCTAGTGTCATTGTACATGTACATCGAAATAGATGGCGGTCTGTTCAATCAGTTGCCCAAATTGAACGTTAGTCCTTGTGTCCAGAGTTAAATACTCCTTGCATATAGAGTAAAATCATAAATGCTTCTATTTCTGTAATTTCAACGGGATGTATAAAAGCAGGACCGAATAACTTTCTAAAATTTTTATTTCGTTTCAATGTCGCATATTGCTATATGATAACCCTAATTCTTTCGTTGGTCCGAAGCACTGCTTCTTCCAATATGTCTGGCGTAATTAGAAATTTCCAATCGTCTATAATACTGTCAGGAGAAATAGCACGAATGGCACCTTACAAACCATGCAAACTGTCACAATATTCTCTTATTCTCTTAAGGTTTTGAGCTTTAGTTCTTTTTGAGAGAATTTTTGATTATTTTCTTTTGTCTTTTATGTAATAGTACTTTCTTTGTTTTTCTTCATCGACTGCATCTTTATTTTCAGATTGGTCGGTCTCTTCACTAGATAAAGTTTGAATATTCTCTTTATCTGATCGATCCCAGTCAATATTACTGACGAAATCATGATAATCAAAAATTTCATGATCTCTATACATTTGATCGCTGCCAGCGACCATTTGGATGGTATTGGCTGCTGCTTGCATCTCCTCTTCACTCACTAAAACATTAGTTGAGGACGACGCCGAGGCTGACGCTATCAATAGCTATAAAGGTAAGAGGTTTACTTCGAGGCATTTTAATCTGGAACGACGAGAATTCATACAATATTTTGTACAAAATGCAAAAACCAATTTTAAAAGACATAAATTGGGATATTTTAAATTAACTTAATACAAAATAAAATTTAACTTAAACACAATAATTATGTAAAAAACCCATATTTGCTATAAGTGGGTCTAATACACGCAGCTACGTCTATAAAAATCGCTAGTTTCAAACAAAAAATATGTACTCTTTACTATAGTATTTTAGACCAAATAACCTGAGAATAACCAGAGCCACAGCCAAAAATTACTTAAGGTAGGGAGAGTGCGTGGTTGCCAAGAGCTTTCTGGACCTGACAGACCCATATTATAGTAGCTAAATAATAACAATTACAATTTTAAAGTTCCGTATGTCATAAAATCCACCCTCATATTATCAGCCACAGATGGCTGTTGCCTATAACACTAAGGCCAAACTAGAAGCAAGTCAATTTTTTTTTTCGAAAAGGCATAACCTCAACTTTGACTCATTTACTGCTCAAGCAAAAGTAGTGTCCATAATAAGATTTGAGATATATTATCAGCCTCACGACAGTGACCAAAACATTAACAACACAAATATACTGACTGAATATTCAGTAGAATAAAAGCAAAAATAAAAAAGGAAAAGAGAAAAAAAAAAGCAAAAAGGTTATACACACTCAACAAATATCTGAAATAATCTTTTTGAAAACATTTTTCGAAATTAAAGTCAAAACGTCGAATTTTAGCTAATTAAAAATGTAATTTTCATTAGTTTAACATTTACATAAAAACAATCTTACTTAAGGTACAGTCAAAAATGGCTTACGACAACCTATACGCTAATATATATATATATATATATATATATATATATATATATATATATATATATATTATATATATATATATATATATATATATATATATATATATATATGTGTGTGTGTATATAAGACATATTCAAGACCACAGTAATATGTCACTGTATGGCACCATATGCAGAATGGATAATAGTAAAATACCAGGCTGGTTTGACAGGAGGGAAATCATCAATTCATCTGGTTGCAACCCAAAAACAAATTCTAGAAAAACACTGTAATTTGGCATACACTTATTACATATTTACTACAAAGCAGCTTACGACTCTAAATACAAGGAGAATTTTCAGAACAATAAAAGAGCTAGGAATATCAAGTCAGTTGTTAAATTTAACAAAACTTAAGCTAAAAAAGTTAAATATAGATTGCAAATTTGGAAGGAACTGTCTGTACCTTTTAAAACAAATAACCGGCTGCGTCATGGAGACCCTATCTCTTGTATACTGTTTAATATGGCTCTGAAAAAAGTAATACGTATGTTACAAGTCACACCCATTGGTTCAATATATAAAAAATCAGTGAAAATCCTATGCTAATTGCTTATGCTGATGAAATCAATATTGTTGGGAGAAGAAAAGATGACCTGATAAACCCTAATATAGAGTTTTCCGATTCTTCAATATTTCACATGCGACAAAATTGTCACATTTTTTGCTATATCAAACCTATTAGTTTCAAATAATTAGTTTTTAAAATAACAAACAAAAATTACATTTTCGGTATAAAGTGTTCATACCAGAAATACGCTTTCGGTTCACTCTTTTTCCTAGGTATTCGTATAAGATGTATAGACAATTGATGCACTGCGCTAAGGTCTCCGATCTTTTTGTTCGTTCGTGATAGACGTGATATTTCGATATTTAACTTATAATGGTATTTTCAAAGTTTTATTTCATTTCATTTATTTCATTCATCAAAACAAAATAAAAAACTGGTTTATTTATTAGTTTTTATTATTTTTCTTACAATAACCTTTACAGGACTTTCGATCGGATTTAAAGATAGTTAGATTCTTTAACACCTATAGTTGACCACATGGAGACGCGATAGCATTACTGTAGTCGTCGAAGACTTTGATTCGAAGATCGTTGATCTTTGTAGTACTTGCACAGTTTATATATGTTGCTGAAACACACAGTGGCTGGTATGGAGTTTCTAAAAAAAGTAAAAAACATTAATCAAATCGTCGTTTTTTGTTAACGCGTTTACTTTGTTTTGGTAAACGCGTCTATTACTTGTTCTTGTATATCATTTATATACAAAAAATTAAATTGAAAATAATGCTGAATTAAAATCGATAGCAAATTTTTAAGTTATCTAAGAGTTGCCGATGACATAGTATTCATAAGCTAAAAAAGAAGAGGAACTACTCTGCATATTAAAAACGCATTAACAAAAATCTGACAAGGTTGGTTTAAAAATGAATTTTTGAGGTTTCTTTCTAAAATCTTACATATTCAAATATTCTTTTTAAATATATAAATACTGTGGGTGACATTGTTGTTACCAAAACTAGCACCTCTGCATCTTGAGTTTCAAATAATCGCATTTGTATTTATTCTTCGTTGTAGTAGTAGACGAACTTCGCAGTGCTCACCAAAGTATCACTATCAACTTATCAGTTGTTCTTAACTGAAGACTTATTACTTCTGCTGAACGTATTCTCGTATCAAATATATCTCCCACAATACCGCACCTCATAATCAAAAAGGCATTTAAAGATATCGGATTACATATAACTTCTCCTGTTTTATTCATGAAATGTGGTTTACTTACTGCTGATTATGCACACATAACTGGCTTCTGAAATTTTTAATTCAAACGTTTCTCTTAACCATGGACAAATAAAAATCCATAGCAATATTGTACCAGCTAGAAGACTAATTACCAGCAGAACGTATTGTTTTCTCAAACGTATGTCCAACAATACCACATAGTCTGTTAGTTGATTATCTACAAAGTGTTGGACTTAATATAATCTCTCCTGTCACTTTTCTAAAAACGAGTTCCACTTTTCCCGAGTATAATCATATTTTGAGCTTCAAAGACAAATATATGTCAGCTCAGCCTATAACTCTAACTATATCGTCATTAACAGTCCTGACAAACTGAGATCAACAACAAATTTAACCGATTCTAATAACAGTAAACCTACTAGTCTTTCCTTTCTTGACATCATGCCTCAACCTGCAGCAACATCCATATCAACCAAACAAATTTCCGTTCAAAAAAAATCAACAAATAATCTAAGCAATCCTTACAATGCTAATGGTCAGAGAAAAGTTAACACCGTGAAAAGCTGCAAGGTAAAATATCTCGATCTTCAGCCAAAACGTAGTATCAATGATTTTCTTACGTCTCCAGAAACAAGTCATACAAAAAAATCATTTGCAGTACCTACATATAAACCTAGGTTGAAGAAGGTTATAAGTAACAACGTGCATACATCCATAAAATGAACAAAATCATGTGACAGTGAGCCTGCCAAAGATTTTATTCAAAATAATTTAACCATATTGTTTCTCAAATTTGACCAATTAAATATAATTCTAAAATCTAAACATAATTCAAGAGTTTACTTCTGACCTCCTGAGATTAGTTCATATGCTAACGAAAGTGCATCTGCAATTAAAAGATAGATTAACCAAACGTTATATCACCTTCTTAAAAAAGAAATCCTACGACACTTGGGTACCAAGATCTATGAATCCGAGGACGAGTCATCTCAGGTTAGCCCGTAAATTTAATTTTCATATATATAACATAATTCACTAAACTGCTGCAATGAAGTATAGATGGATGTTCCCATGGACTTCCAACCTCGCAAAAACTTATTTCTACCGATATAATATGTCTTCAAGAAACAAATTCAAACCCCCAAAAAAACTATACATTCAATTGTTTTAACATTTGAGAAAAGATAACAGTACATGACAATAATTTCTCTTAAGGTAGAGTCAAAAAAAATAAATATGGCATTTACAAAACTCTAAAAGCGGTCTCCTAATATTTCAATTTTAATTCTTGGTTACCAAAACAGTAAGTATGGTATTCTCAAAAAAAAAACTTCTCAAATAATCCCAATCTCGAGTTTTTCAATACATTGCTATCCTTCAAATCATGTGTAAAATTCTAAGGTATATGGTCTGATACTCAACTTACTTGGAAAGAACAGATTAGCAATTAGTATTGACTTAACCTAATAAGAACACTGTCGAATACATATTGGGGTTATGATCAATCTACCTTACTAACAAGCTACAGAACTCTAATAAGAACAAAAACTGATTATGGATCAATCGCTTACGTCTCTGCTTTCCCCATATTATTAAAACAGCTAGACTCTATCCACAACACAGCACTTAGGATCTTTCTTGTCGTATTTCGAACGTCACCTGTGAAAAGTTTATATTGTGAAAGTGGGAAGTCGTCATTATATCACCTCCGAATTACCTCAACACTATCACACGCAACTTTACTAGCTTTAAATGTAAATAAACCTCTATTTAATAATACGCGTACTTATAACTATATAAATCTCTGTAGCAATAGTGTCAAACATAAGCCTTACTATAAGCAAGTAAGATGTTACCTGAGATGTCTTGATATCGGATTCCCAAATACTTTTTCAATCAATATTCAAAGCCCCTTCAGTTAGATAATTAATGCTAAAAATATATACACAAGTCTCACACAATTTGACAAACATATTAATAGTCACGCATAGATCAAGAATAATCTAGATCTTCTCCTTCAGCATTACGAACAATGTTGCAAAAATTTTTACTGATGCATCCAAGTGTGACAAAGGAGTAAGTACTGCATTTGTTACCTCAAGCGATACACATCAATTTCGTCTTTCAACCTTCTTTCCAATTTTCATTGCTGAGCTCTATGCAGTGCTCAAAGCTATTATCCCTATAAATTGTGATAACATTACTAACTCTGTTATCTTAAGTGACTCACTAAGCGCCCTTCAAACCTTTAAACAGATCTATCTAAAAATCACCTTGAGAAACTGATAAAATTAGAACTCATGCAGGCTCAAGAAAATCGTAGGAGTATCAGATTTATATGGATTCTATCCTACATTGGCACTGTAGGCAACGAAATTGCGGATCAGAAAAAGCCGAGTATCTAAACACCCCGAGTGATATAAAAGCGTTTATAAAGAATAGAGTTTTGTGCAAAGGGAAAAACGAATAGCAATATTCTCAAACATCACTAAAGCAAATTAAAAATGATGTTTTAGCTTCGGATCCCTTAACCAGGAATAGGAGAGAACAATTGGTGATAACGAGATTAAGAATTGGACGCACGAGACTTACTCATTCATATTTACTGTCCAAAAGTGATCCACCTGTGTGTGAAACATGTAATGGTTAACCATTTATTAATTGTGTAAGGTAATCTTACTTAAGTATATTACGTTATATGTAAATTAATAATAGGACCAGTAGGTGTAATATATTTACCTGCAGAATTCTTCTCTGGAGGTAGTGGTTAAGCAGTTACAATTCTCAATTGGTTTTGTGTACCATTCAAAGGACAATATGCATTCATGAACTGTTAACTCTAAAATGGAAAAAGAGATTTAATCAGCCATTTTACCAGTAATAAATTTCTGTAAATTACATTTTTATAGATATTTGTTGAATCGAAGTAAATCACAATTAATTTTGAATAAATTAAGAAAATTACGCTAATTTTTAATTTTGTTTCGATTTATAATGAATGTCTACAATATTAGACTCGAAAATTCTAATCCTCTGGTTATCGTACTCTTAACGATAACTTGTTCTTTTAGTACATATTGCTAGCCAGATCTTGCTGCCTTATATTGATGTGTTTGCAACCTAATTTGCTTCATTGAGGATTACGCCTGCTTCCTTATTTTCCTCTTTTTGCTATCTGTTTGTTTTGTCTTTTGCTATATCTTTCCATCAGAGTACGTTCAGAATTTGATATCAGTCGCTAACTATTAAATTATGTCCGACCTGTTATTAACACTTTAGTTTATAATTAATTTTATTTCCCAATTTCAAAATTTTTGAAAAACAATTTCTGAAAAAAGTAAAAATGTTTTTCGTAAACGTAAAAAGATGAAATATAATTAGTTGTATCTTAAGCCATTATCATCATTTTCAACGTATTATAACGATTATGGTGCAGCCTTTCATATATACTCATTCTTCTTTTCTGCCAACGATTGTCTTATATTCACTTTTCTCTGCCATATGATACGAGCTTGTTTTCTCGTTGTCTTCCTGTTGTCTTGACGCCTGTTGGATACCACAGTGTAATTATAGCAGACCAACTATTGTAAGTTCTTCTCCATAAATATTCCGCCCACTGCCATTTTAAAGATTTAATTCTATGGATTGCATCAGTTTATTATCTCTTTCATAACTGTCCATGTTTCGCAGCCGCATGTCATGAATTGTAGTAAACACTGGTCGAATGCTTTTTTTTTCAGATAAAGTGGCCTCTCCAATTTAAATATAGCTGCATTTTTACCAAAAGTGGCCCAACACAGCTTGATTCTGTTTATTTCTGATAAATTTACTAAGTCGTTGTACACTTAGCCAACTTAAGCCAACCATTAAGCCAACTTAATTGCTTTAAAGTTACATTTAAGTTCTTGTAATTCTGCAGTATTATAAGCAATCAAAACGATGCCGCCTACAAATCTAAGATTACTTAGGTATTTTCGATCAATGGTCTTTGTTCTGCTAGTTTATTTTGCTAAATATATTTTCTAAAGTTACAGTAAAGAGCTTTGGTGATATTGAGTGTTCGGGTCAGGGACTTCTGGCAATGGGAAATTTTCGAGTATTTTCATCAATTTCTACCTTAGCTTTTATTTGTTGATTTGAGTTTCTATTACTACCTTTTGATATACATAACCGAAAGCCTTCTTGAAATCTATAACGTTTATTGCCAGTGATATTTCATATGTTTTAG